TGGTGTTCACATCTGCATTATATTACGACGCGAGTTTTATTTTCGTTGGTTTGCAGTATATGTTTGCGGAAGAAGCTGTACAAATATATTCCTTTACTTTTCGAGTTTGTCTCGTACACTTTGTTATTTTATTAGTCCTCCTGGCGCGCCATACTGTCTCTAACGGAAACATTCTGCTCAGTTGGTCAAGGTTTTCACGAGTTCACGATAAATTTGATTCCCCGAATCAATTCGGAAAACACATAAAACCCTTCCTTTGCTTGGCACGTTTTACGACTCTTCATTTGATTTTTTAGGTAGCGCCGTGCACAGTCCTTTTATTGTTGCAGCAGACATATTTCTGTCAAATTTTTCACTCATTTTTCCTAAGTTCTGTGGAAGCCTTTGTTATTTGCCCTAAAATTTATTTATCACGTAATCATTTTGAATGGTTTCTTAGTTATGGAGAAATAAATGAATATAAAACAAAAGATCATTAATTTATAAATTTTTCAGTTCGTTGTCTTTATGCCTAAAAACGTACATAAAAAGTATAATTAGGTAGATGCTGTTTTTTAAGCTTCTTACTTTTATTTTATCGGAACTTTGTCACTTCAAGAAACAATTAATAACTAAACGTATTCATCTAATAAATTTGTAGGGAATTCACTTTTATAATGTTGCTTTTGTTCAGTGCGAATATAAAAAATATTAATGCGCTTAGACTACAAGGAAAGCACACAGTCAGTTCAACTATTTAAATAATGCTTTTACGTGGGCATCAAAATTTTATTTCTGTCTAAATTTAAGTAGGTTATGCATCGTGGTTAGTAAAACTGCACAGAGGAAGACGCAGACAGTATAAAGCGAAATAGCCGACCATATATAACTGAAATGAAACCACGCGAAGAGTGAAATGAACGTGGGGTAGGGACACAGTCACATCAGTGAGCACTATAAACTTTTGTAATAAATTTCACACACTGTCTCAAAACTTGGAAGCGCGAGAACATTGTTTTGTGTTGGAGAACTATTAACAATGTCGGCATCCTACTATTCGAGTTCATATCTGCTTCAAATACTTGACATAAGTATGAATTAAATGGAATGTCTGATTCAATCTGTAGTATTTGTACATCAGTATGCAGTACAAATAGTCGTATGGAGTAAGTATGATATAAAAGAATAAACACCAATTATCCACTGAAATGAGTTTTTTGCTAAAGACATTGTAAAAAAAAGTAAGCGTCAAATCGTCATATTATACTGTAAAAAAATCGATGTGAGTGAGCCTTTAATTTGTGTACATCCTTAATTTACATTAAAAACTCTATTTTAGTTAATTTTCATCATACCAAAAGAAAAAATATTTAGACATGAATTTAATAAATGCAAAATGATAATTTTCGATTTTTTATAAGTTTGAGTGGTTTTCTACTTATTAATAATAATTAATAATATTCTAATTTTCTAAAAATTAATTAAACAATTGACAATCAATTTATGAATAATTGCGGCCACAATTTTGACGGATCTTTTTACTTTAATTAAATGGTGCACATTTCTAATGAGGCAATACTATTTAAAATAATGTAAGTAGTATAGATAGTGGGCTCCTGGGACCGCCATCCGGAGCAGCAGAAGACCCCAAGGGGTTGAAGGGGTGATGCCGAAGACATAGATTGCAGGGTTATTTTAGGGTTGCTTTAGTGTCACCCCATCTGAAGAAGTGATCAAAGAAGTAGAAGACCGCGACAGCCAATGACCAGAAGGTATGACACAAAGAGGTATGCAGGTGTGTTTCGCTTGCCTCGCCAGCCTACACCTGAACTGAGGTGAGTTAGTAAATCAGGTGTTATTTTTCAGCTATGATTAGACGAGTTGGATAGAATTTAATTATTAGGAGAACAGAAACGGATAAGAAGTAATTAAATTTATATGAATGAAGTAAAAAAACAAATTAGTTGTTGTAAGCAGATTATCAATTTTGCATTCCTATAGATAACCTTTCGCCTTATAATATTTTCAATGTACACAACGTATATAAGATAAAAATTAACCGAAAACTAAATCAGTTTGTAACGAGACATTAAATTTTGATTTACTAACTCATCTCAGCTCAGGTGTAGGCTGGCGAGGCAGGCGTACCTCTCGCGTCATACTTTCTGGTCGTAGGCTGTCGCGGTCTTCGTCTTCTTTGATCACTTCTTCAGATGGGGTGACACTAAAACAACCCTAAAATAACCCTGTAATTTATGTCTTCGGCATCACCCCTTCAACCCCTTGGGGTCTTCTGCTGCTCCGGATGGCTGTCCCAGGAGCCAACTTTCTATACTACTAATGTAGACTTATAAAAAAGTTATGAACTTTTGGAAAAATTATCTGAGAATATTGAAAATTTTATTTTTTGTTTTAGACTGTAACATAACAATATTTATTTTGATTTTTTTCCTCATACCGGCAGTTGTACGCCACTGACTGGAGATGAAATTTTATTTAGTAATGACAACGTGCTTCAAGCTTACGAAATTGAAAAAATAGGTCTCAAAGATATATCTAAATATAAATAGGTACGTTTCGTTGAACTAGAACCTCGTGTATTGCGGAAAGGGTTTTCTACAATATGTTGCATATTCTACCTGCTCCTGTAGTTGTAAAGAGAAAGTCTGTCACACTCTCGTTTTTTATGGATGGAACTAGATCCAAAACTGTGTCGAGATGCTTCCATATTCCAACGAAAGACTGAAAAACTTCAATGAAGTCCATGGGAACAAAGGTTTTTAAAGGTTAAAAAAATTGCAAAAACACTTTTTACGTTTAAACTGCGTAGTTTGATTTCAAAGCATACAGTACCTACAATTGTCGTGCAAGAGAACATCACTGGACGAATACGTTAAAGTTATCAGATCGTGCTTCACGTAAAATTAAACTAATAAGAGTTGTAACAGTGCTTCTTGGCATATTTCACGCTACCTTACGGACACCTCACATTCTAGGACTTCAAGCCAATTTGAATTTAAAAGCGTTTATTCAGCACACCATCCTTTTAATTGCGATGTAACTTTCGCTCTTATGATAATTTCCAGCAGCGGTGCTTGTAATTTAAGATTATGCGAAGGTTGATGTTTCCTGCAAATGACGATCTCCTCGAAAACAAGGGTATAACAAATTTAAGCGCCTTAACGTGACCCACTTCGAACTTGATTGCTCTAGAGCCTGACCCGACTGAATTTTCATTAATTTATACTGGAATTGTAAAGTTTAATGGCCATTCGCATAAAAAAACACTTACGGGAACGTAGCCGGATAGTTACCGTTAGCGAGACTTTATTGGCGCTAATCTTAAAGTTTAGTCTTCACGCTTATTTTTAAATGGTCTTAAAAATAATATACTATTAATTCTAATCACTTTGTTGTCTCTATCAACCTTCCATACTATGGCAAAATCAAGCAAGTTAACCGAAAAGTTTCACATTATATACCTGGTGGTTATTAAAGTATTACATCGGGTTTCAAGAAATTTTCAAACTATGTTGAATGAAAATTTGATACTTACAATTTATTCCTTTCATGATTTTCGTAACAATTGTGTGAATTTTCATTCCAGTGTTTTCTGTACGCGTGTTTGTTGTAATTCTTTGTAAATTTTGTCAGAGATAAATATATACCATCAGTTTTCAACTGTTTTACAAATTCTGCCATATAAAATTTTTTTGGAACTTTCTTAATTAATAAAAGATGTTTGGAATTGCACTTCTATTCATTTGTAAGAGCAGTGTTTTAATCATTTTGGTTCACAGCAATCTGAATCATGAAAACAGTGAATGTTTAAGAGAAATTCAAATAAATACTAATTAAAATATGTTTAATCTCCCGCATTTGTAAAAAAATGAACAAAATGAGAACAAATAAGAATATAAAAGCATATTTTACACTCATATTGAACATGATTGAAATTTACTGATAAATTTAATCGATATCATTTTCTAAGAACACCAGTATTGCGAAAAATATAAAATTTAACCACTTAGCTTCTTGTCCTACTGCATTGTCTCCATTAACTAACGACTATCAAGGGACGGCTAAGGATTTTAACATAATTTAGTTGATGACACTATTAAAGTGAAGTCATGTTTACGTGTAATAAAAGGAGTCGTCGAAATAGTGTGCCTGTCATAAGGCATGTGTTGGAAAAAAACAATTTCTAGGCGGCAAATATTTGTTTAAATCTAAATCTAAATTGGGGCATCCTCTGTTCTAGATTTTTCTGTAAGTGACGGTCGCTTATTGACTTGATCCTGACACTTATCTTATTTTTACAATTGATGGGAATCTAATGTTGTGTGAATTGTCGAATGAGGGAAAGAACGTCGATATTTTTCACATTGAAAAGCTGAAGAAAACGATTTGGAATTTATAAATGCGAACCGAGGTGAAAATACTAACGATGTTAGGGATTTACAACGATTTTTTTATACTTAGCTACTGTTTCATCTATTGAATTCTATCTAGGATCTATTTTATGGTCAATATTAATTTGATTTACTTATAGACATATTCAGTAACATTCTACCTTCCGTTTTGTCTAGAGGCCAGAGTTTCAGGAACTTTTTTTAACTTTTGACGTACATAAAGAAATAATTCAATGTTGCATAAATAAGTAATGGCAGTCTTGATTTCATCCATTATGTAAATAAACCAAAAATATTGTGCAAATTGTAAAAGCAAAAATACTACAAATTTATATCTTTCTCATCAGAAAAAAGAGCATTTCAAGAAATTATCGATACAGAGGGTTTTATATAAGAAAAAATCAGTTTGGTTTATATCTCTGAAGCGCAAACAATCTTTTTTTTTTATCTTTCAGACTACAAAGAAATTTCAATTTCATTAAACTTTGATCTTCATCATTATTTCGAGGCAGAGAGGCAAATGTACTTATGTACACGTGCATATAATGATTACTTAACCGTTTATTTGCATTTTATGTGTTTTTATGAACGTATTATATCTCTTATTAGGTGGCGCAATCGAGCACATATGTGAAGAGACAGACGAAGAGGTGTTACCAGACAGAACTACCTTAATAAGGGCTTCGAGGTGCCTCCTTGGTGCTATTACAAGAGTTTTACTTTTGGCGGACATTGTAGTGGTTAAGCAGCTTCTTCTCGCCAAAGATAAGGCAAGTCCCATCTCTAATCCAAACATTCAGTTAAGTTAGAAGATTGCAAATTTTTGTTGTTAAATAACAAGCCATGTGTTGCGCTTCTTTTTATTTTATATTTAAATATGGTAGACAACGTGTCATCTCTTCTATTTTCATTTTCAGGTCTCTCACAGCTTGGACCGTTTAGAATCGGTAAACAATTTTACAGAATTTGTGAAGGCGTTCAGCCAATTCGGGGCCGAAATGGTCGAGCTGGCACATTTAACGGGAGACAGACAAAATGATTTGAAAGATGAAAGGAGAAGGGCCCAAATGGCCGCTGCTAGACAAGTTTTAGAAAGGTCGACAATGATGTTACTTACATCCAGTAAGGTGAGTTTACCAGTTACTGTGACAATCAGAGGTAAAAACTAATTTTGAGAAACTATTTTTGTAAAATATGTCTACTTTTTTTCTATAATGATTATAGTGTTTATCTTATTAATTTTTTAAAAATATTATGTACAGTAGGGTAGCCCAAAAAAAATGAATATTTTTCTTTTCGTGTCTTTTGTATATATTAGTTTATCATGTTTTAAGAGCCCCCTTAAAAAATTCGTTAAAAAAATTTTTTTGAGAGGTCGCTCAAGATTTTTAAAAATTTCGAAAATCGTCAAAAATTGAATTTAAAAAAAAAATCTCGTTATTTTATAATTTTCTTGGTTGACAAAAATCTCTATTCTGAAAATTTCAAATCGATATTTTAATTTCTAAAGGTCACTCATAACTATTTTAGTTTTCAAAGTAATGTACCTAAAATGTTTTCGAGCGACCTAAAAATAAATATCAACGAACTAATAATTTTTTTTATTGAATTTTATAAACAAAAGGATAGAAATAAATCACGACACTTAAATTTTAAAAAATTAAAAAACTATAAATATTTGATACTCACAGTGCGGCAGTAAATTTTGCCTCGAGAAATTTTTTAAGTGTCTCGTGATTTATCTATCCTATCTATTTCATCAAATTTAATAAAAAAAATTATTAGTTCGTCAATGTTTATTTTTAGAGGTCGCTCGAAAACATTTTAGGTACACTACTTTGAATGTTAAAATAATTATGAGTGACATTTAGAAATTAAAATATCAATTTGAAATTTTCATAATGGAGATTTCTTTCAATCTAGAAAATGATAAAATAACGAGAAAAAAATCTAAAAAAAAATTAATTTTAGACGATTTTGGAAATTTTAAAAAATCTTGTGACCTCTAAAAAAATTTGCAATGAGCTGATTATTTGAGGAGGCTCCTAAAACATGATAAACTAACAACTAAAAAATTTTCACAAGAGAAACGAAAAAAAAATATTCGTTTATGTTGGGCCAACCTAATATACAGGGTGTTGCTATTATTAAATTAACAAAACGAATGATTCTTTAACCAAAAATAAGAAGAAAGGTTCATATGTACAAACACTTCGTTTTTTAGATACAAGGTGACTATTATTTTTTTAATTATTCGCATTTATTTTAAACATTTAACTCTATAACTCACTCAAATTATAAAGTGAAAATATTAGAAATCTCTTGGAGGTTGTTAATTGATAAATAATCATTAAAGTTTGTCGCGCTTTATACGGATTTTTCCTGCCTTACTAATTCGTGACGTCGTTTAGTGCTATCGATAATCGAAAGAATGATTGACAGGTATAGAACTCTCCGACAACATATGGTAAGTAATAAGAGCTGTGAAACTCACTTTGTTTCGAGGCTCCCCGTATGCGAGTTAAATTATAGACGACCGCAGACGTACCAGAAACCGGTTGTGTTCTCGATCATACTAAATGACGTCACAACGCGTTCATGATCACGTGACTAAGTTTAAATTTTTACATAATATTATTAAACATCTATAATTAATTTGTAACATTAAAAGAAGTATTTCTTTTCAACCGATGACACTGGGTACCAACCCATTTGCCAGGAAATATGTAACACAAATGAGAATAACTTGTGTCACTTTGTATTTCAATTTTTTTCCTCAGTTGTAATCAAAGAACCATCCAATTCTTTCATTGAAATAACATAAATAGGGAGCCTTATTAAAAAAGCATACTGATGGTCTTTATTTGTATTATTTTTACAAAAAGCATCTATTAGATTTAACAGGGCTGAATTTGCAAAATTAATGCAACTAAATTGCTTTATTGCATTTTCACATTTCCAAGTGCTATTAAATATACATCTGAAATAAATCTATAAGCTACATAATAAATGAATATTTTTTTTGATACATATTTTATCAATCAATTTACTGGTACAATGAATAGATCGATTCCTAATTTTAAACACATACAGGTAATGTGTGTGCAAAAGTGAATTGCATTCGAATTTGTTTTTTTTTTTAAGTTTAAAATATACAGTTGCTCTGGATTTCAGTAAAAATACGTTTCAGACTTGCTTAAGACACCCGGAATGTACATCTGCAAGGGAGAACCGTGATACGGTATTCTGTCAAATGAGGAGAGCCATGGATCTTATTCATTTTGTTGTCAAAGATGGTGTCTTAAATAGTACTGATTCAAGTGTTCAATCCGTTCGTAGAGAAGAACTATGTGAAAGCGACAGGGGCACTGCCTATGCTTGTATGAGGCATTTACAGCACCTTCTTGAACATAGCAAAATCTCTATGGGTATGTTTAATATTTATCTAAACTAAAACGAATTTAATAATTCTATACTAATTTAACTATGTTTAGGTCTGATTTACTCGTGTTGTTTCTTATTTTAATTGAAAAGATTTAAAGGTAGATTGTTGTTGACCTATAAAATTAAAGATAGGTCGTGATCGCGGAGAGTGATATCTAATTTTGTATTGTAGATCCTTCCTGTCAAGAGACACTTACGACTGCTTTAGAGGCTGTTCTAGAAAGAACTCAGGATTTCACTGATAGTGCCTATACTAGTCATGAACATAGAGAAGCCATTCTAGAGTGTAGCGAGAGATTAAAAGCTGAATTGGATCATCTTTTAGGGCTTTATGCGAACGCTGTAAGTCGGCTTTTCCTTTTAGACACAAATGATTACGTAATCTTTTCCTTAGATGAAGTAAATTCCTGTGAATGGTTTATTTTATTTTACTATTATGTAAATTAACAATTGCTAATCGGGTATTGCAGTTTATTAAAATGCAAAGTTTGTGTGTGCATGAAACGGTTAAATTGTGATACTGGAGGTTAAGACCTCTTGCCGGTATTAATGTGTGCTTGTGTGTACTGGTCATTGGTGTTTGTTGGAATTATTTTTTGGATTTCTAATGCACCTTGACCAAAATCATCCCACTCTTCTAGTTTACTGATGAGTCTGTTGAGTGATCTGTGCTTTACAACTGCCTATTTGCATGGGATACAGGCACCTTGGTGCAAACTGGTCTTACATTTTGACTTGTAAAAAGAATCACTTTCTATAGGTGTTACAGTTGGTATTAGTACTGCGTTTTCTTGAGAGGCAGCTCATAAGATATTATGAGTACATCCATGTATTGTATCCACTTCCTTGTTCTTGGGTTTCCTTCTGGTGGTTTATTCAATATTTCTGTTAGTATATCCATTTGTCCTGACAGCTGATGGTATGTGCTCATGAAACTGCTCTGTGTCTTTTCGAGGCGCTAATGCGTTGAGAGGGGCTAGATGGTAGTGAAACAGCCCCTGGATTGGGTTTCTGTAGATGATGTGCCCTAGAATGCCTTGGTTTCCTCTTATGTACCTAATGGGGATGTCTAGGAATAGAAGGTTATCGTTTCCTTCCAATTTGTGGTGAAATTTGTTCTTCAGTTCATTAAAAGATGTTACATAAGTGTGCCAATATTTTGACATTAGTTTGCTGATTCCAGTTCCTTCTTCTCGGGAACTCCCATGTAGATATTTGTCATGGCTAAGGATGCGGGAAAACTCATAACTCCTTCAGTGTTTATAAAACGGATACCAAAAGGAGAAGACCCATCTGTTGCACTTCTTCAAAGTTTATTAAATTATCGTTCTTGATTTCTTCCTTCTTTATTTCTTTGATGAAGTTCTTCCAAAGCTCTTTCAATTGGCACTTTTGTCAAATAATGATGAGTTGGAGTTTTCTTGAGCTACTTCAGGAATGATGATCTAATGTAGTTCCTTGAAAATGTTAGAGGCAGGTCATTCCTCGATTTCCTTGAATGGATTATTTTCTATTTTCTACTTTGGAGATGTGTTCTGCCGTACCCAAGATTATGGTAACTTTTTTTGTAGAGGAGATATGGTCAAATCATCGTTTTCCATGATTTCTTTAATTTTTTAGTTTAGATTTGGCAGCAACTCGTCAAATACTTATTCAAATAAATGAGATGGGAATATTTCTATTTTGTTCCGTAAGTGCAGTCTCAAGCATGCACAGGCATCACTTATGATGTAGAATTTTTTTATTATTCCGACTCTACAGGATGGTTGATTTTCGATTGTTTTATAAGGTACCTACAGCCAAAACGGTGATATATACAAAAAATCTAATGTCGATGCCCCATCCTCTTCTTTTGAGTTTACTTTACTAGTACCAATAGATCTTGGCTAACTTGATTAGTTTTTTTTATTAGGAAGCCATTGGCATACTCAGATTTTTTACAAATCGCACTGTTTTTCCGATATTACCTACATAAACAGGTTTCTTTAAAATAGAACACCCTGTATTTGGCCATCCCATTGAATAGCATCTTTTTACCTTTTCAGCCATATATAATTATAGATACTTTTTATTTGCATAATGAAGAAAAATGCAAAAAATGTATTTGTATTTTTTCAGTTGGTTATGAGATTTATTTAGTATTTGTTTCAATCAATCAAAAATAAATTAATTGTCAGTATTAAACAACAAAAGACAAATACTAAGTAGATCACATGGCCAACTGAAAAAATAACTAGAAATTTTTTACATATTTCTTCATTTAGACAAATAAAAAGTATCTATTAATCTATTGTTATATATGGCTGAAAAGGTAAAAAAAATTGTTATTCAAAGGGATGGCCAAATATAGCGTGTTCTATTTAAAAAAACCTATGTTTATGTAATATCAAAAAAACTGTGCCATTTGTAAAAAATCTGAGTACGCCAATGGCTTCCGCATAAAAAATCCTTGTATATCTAAAACTAATCAAGTTAGCCAAGATCTTTTGGTACCAGCGAAGTAAACTCAAAAGAAGAGAATGGGACATTGATATCAGAATTTTTGTATCTATCAGTTTTGGCTGTACACCAAAAAACTATCAAAAATTAGCCTAAACATACAGGGTGTTCCTAAATAAGTGTCGCAACGGAAAACTGTAAATTCCTCTTGAAAAAAGAAACATTTTTTGCCTCTTCCATTTTTCTTTCCGGGTTTTCGTTTTCGAAATACACTGTGTCAAAACTTTAAATTTAGTTTTTAGTTTTTTGCCAATATCTTAGGAGGCGTTTGAACTACAGCACTGAGCTTTTGTCCACACATTACCACTATTAATAGCTACTTTTTCGCACCCTTATCGAATTCATTGTACATGAAAGTGGTAGAGATTTTAAGGTATCGTAAGTGTTTTCCCCCCTAACTTTTACGCCACTGGAAAAATTGACATTTGACAACAAATTCTGAAGAGCCAATGAATTTTATGCAAAAAGAATTCTCTTGGTTCATTGCTCCAAGGTCAACCGTTTTAAACAAAATGACTTCTGTTCTTTTCTCAAGAGGAAACTACAGTTGTTTGTTGCGACACTTTTTTAGGAACACCCTGTATATGTTTGTGCTCTATTCAAAGCTGTGCTGATTTTAAATTCACTGCTACTAGATAATTTAATTTGTTGCTCGTCATCAGCATCGTAAAGCGTCACTAATCTTAGTGGAAAGAAGATGAAATTAACATTTCTCTTTCAAGTTCAATGTTGCTAACGCTGCAACACAGTCCTTATTGTTTATTTGGTCCTTTTTATTTATTTTTATATTTTCTGAAGCGGTATACGCGTATACTATCCCTGTTTCCGTTTACAGATAGGGTTTGAAAATGCGTCGAATTGCCCAGAACTGGACAATTCTGTGCAGGCGTGCATAAATTCAGCGAGGGACTTGTCGAAACATTTAGCCAATGCTGCCATTCACCAAGCCCAAGAACTGAGTACAGCCACTAAACAGGGGTTGGAGTTAGTAGCTGCAATCAGGCAACAGGCTATTATGTCTGAAATTGATAGACTTCATCACACCTCCAATGCCTTTCAAGATTCCATAGATCATATTTTGGAGGTAACCCGTTACGAGTATATTTTTATTCAAGCGTTACCACGGTTTTTTTTTCTAGGTTTGTAAATTACTGAGACATGTGGCTGTGTCCGAAACCCTGCAGGTGTCGGCTAAGTTCACTGAGATTAATTTAAGAGTTTACGGCCCCCAAGTTATCACCGCCGCTAAATCGCTAGCCGCTTATCCGGGAAGTAAAATTGCTCAAGAAAACTTAGAGGTGTTCGCGGAGATGTATCAGTGGCTCGTGTCGGATGTGACTACCATCGTCAAGGACGTTCTTGAAGCGAGCCAGTCGAAGCCCGAGAAACAAGTCTATATGTCTCTTCCCAGGCCAGGCGTAAGCAGATTTGTAAGAAATCAGACGGAATTAAATTAAATTATTTGAATTTGTAGAAACACGGGACTACTTCAAAGCCGCTGAAAGCTGTGAGGCTGGATACCGAGGAGCAGGAAAAAATCGCAAAGTCCGGTCTGGAAATGAAATTGATTACGAGCGAGATGGACGCGGAGACGGAGAAATGGCAAGAGAGCAATAGCAATACGCAGCTGGAGGTAAAGTCAGTCGCAAGTGTTACGTGCGGACATAAAGCAATGTATTGATTGTAGGAGAACAATGATATCGTTAAGAGGGCTAAGAATATGTCCGCTATGGCTTTTTCTATGTACCAGTTCACGAAGGGGGAAGGAGAGTTGAAGACCACTCAGGATTTATTCACGCAGGCGGAGTATTTTGCCGAAGAGGCTAACAGATTATATAAAGTTATCAGACAATTTAGTTACCAGGTGAGAACTAATTTTTCGTGTAGGTGTTACAGTTTCTTTATACAGGGTGTAACTTTAAGTGGGGGGGGTCAGTTTTTTAGGGGCGATAGTACGAGTTTCCCAGAATAGTCAAGTTATAAATCGTTTCTTAAACTGCACTTAAATTCTCGTTTACACCTCGGGAGCACCCGTTTATATTTCAGGAATAGAGATAAAAAAAAAAAAAATGATAGTCGAGGAAATAGAGCACTGAACCTTCGAAATTTTTCGATCAAGTCGTATCAAGATGGGATTTTTTGCATTCGGTTTCTAAAATTATGTGAAAAAAATGTATGAACTTTGTATTTTGTTTTTCGGCCAAATTGCACTTGTGCAGTGCAAAATGCATCCCGAAAAATGCATTTTTTTTTAAAGTCACTTAGAAAAAATTCATAACTCGGTTAATAATGCCTGGAAATGACTCAAATCAGACTCCTGAGGGTTTTCGAGGTCGCTGATCCCAAATATGACCTTCAAATTGGTCTATCGCCGACGTGGAGCTTAGGATTGATGATGAACGTCATCTCCGAGGCTTCTCCTGAATTTGACTCTTAAATGCAACGAGACTTGACACCCAGGGGTTTTTCGGGTCGTTAATTCCTAATCCGACGTCGGTGACCTGGTGCACCGGAACCTTGACCTTGAAGTCGGTGTCATCGTCAGAAAATTCAATACTGCAATAACTTGTTTGGAATTGTTGATCTCATTTGAAGTATGCAAGATGAAAATAGAAGGAATAAATTGAATGAATGTCACAATGTATGCAAGTGTTGTTTCAAAAACAAATCAAAATCATTTATTTCCAAATCAATTGCCATTTCTAACCTACTCTTTACTTCAATTTATTCAAAATATTCTACTAAATATCATTTTCATCATCAACTGACATATAGGGCCCGGATAGTTTTTCGAGGGCCCCGGTCTGGGGGCCCACAGTCATGCATGCGTCATATTATAAGATAATTTCAAGAAGAGTGCCTCGAAAAACCCCTAATGTGATTTTCGACGCCAGATTAGGAATCGGCAACCCAAAAAACCTCCGGGTGTGAAGTCTCGTTGCATTTAAGAGTGAAATTCAGGAGAAGCCTCGGAGACGACGTTCATTATCAATCCAGGTCGGCGATGGACCAATTTGAAGGTCATATTCGGGATCAGCGACCTCGTAAACCCCCAGGACCCTGATTTGAGTCCATTCCAGGCATTATTAACCGAGTTATGAATTTTTTCTGAGTAACTTTAAAAAATTCGATTTAAGATTATAACGCACTGTTGCTGAGATAATCCACATAGAATGTTGTAAAAAAAATTGCATGGAATATTCAGGACTTCATTTAATTTTTTGGCCAAGATGAATTTTTCAAGTTGCTGTAAATATCTACCTACAAAAAGTCGAATTTTACGATAGGGACATCGGTTGTCAGATGGCAGCACAAGGATCAACCATTCCCCAAAATTTAAAACGCAACCGTCCTATCAGCGGAATTCTTCACGTTGTCAGTTGTTAACTTTTTAAATCAACCGTTAGAGAGCAAAACTATGACGGAAAATAATTTAGTAAAAACAGATTGCGTTTGTATGATTTTACATGTTATACAAGGTGTCCCAAAATTCATGCAACAATATTTGTTCACAGATTCTTAAGGCAAATTTAGGGGACCTGTATTTTTTATTTCTGCCAAGTGGCCCCCTCTTTCGGAGTTACAGCCCCCCGAAATCTGCCCCTAAGAAGTCTCTTTTATATCTCGAAACCATGTGACACGAGAATCACTAAATTTGGTACACAGGGGTTTTATGACATGTGGAATCTCACAGTGCTATGCTTTTTGGCGAAAAACCCCTTAAGACACTTTTTCGTGGGCCCCCTTGTCTTTGGAGCCAAAGAAATTTGATCGCATATTTAAATTTCTTTAAATTTATCAGTCAACTGGAAAGCCATTAAATTTAGAAACTTTTTGTCTCTTTATACTTTTTTCGTAAAACACAATGTTTTTAAGAAAAATGTCAAAATGTGATCGAATGCATATCGTGATTCGCCATTTTCCTTAAAAACATTGCGTTTTACGAAACAAATATCAAGAGACAAAAAAGTTTCTAAATTCAGTGGCTTTCTAGCCAACTAATAATTAAAACAAAAATCAAATTTGCGACCAAACTTTTCTGGTTCCAATGACAAGGCGGCCTACGAAAAAGTGTTTTAAGGGGGTTTCTCGCCAAAAAGCGTAGCACTGTGAGATTCCACATGTCATAAAACCCCTGTGTACCAAATTTAGTTATTCTCGTACATGTTTTGAGATATAAAAAAGATTTCAGGGGGCGGTAACTCCGAAAGAGGGGGCCAGTTGGCAAAAAGAAAAAATACGGGTCCCCTAAATTTGTCTTAAGAATCTATGCCCAAATTTTGTTGCATGAATTTCAGGACACCCTGTATAATTTACCACATTTTTTCATGCCAAAAATTCTAGTGTTTTTAAAAAAAATTAAATTTTGCCCGTGATTTATTAAATATTAACTAATATGGTATGTAGATATGTTACTAATTGTAAGTAAAAATATTTACTTTTTAAAATAATTATTTTTGCCGTTTTAAAAAACGTAAATAAATAAATTAATTGATGAAATATTTTTTTAATCAATTAAGTTTTTAAAGACAATTATCTGTTACAATTTTTTTTAAGCGGTTGTGTTTTTAGGAAAGGAAGTTTTTTAGCAAACAAATACTTTTCAAAAGTTATAAAATTCTAAACAAATCACAGTATGTTTTTACTCCATTTTTCTTAATCAGTCACTTCAGCTGAATCGGTGCTAGACATCGTAAATTAATCTAAAAAAAAAATAGAGCAATGCATGAAATGAAAACGGGACAAAGTTTTCAGGACTACTTCATAGTGTTGTATTTTGTTTAGAATGTGCCTGAAATTTTTCAGGTTCCCGGTGGTGCTAATAAAAAGGAACTTCTTGCAAACCTAGACAAAGTACCGACGTTTGTTCAACGGCTGCAATTCACCGTTAAAGACCACACAGTTGGGAAAGCGGCCACTTTTACAAAGGTTGACAACGTAATACAAGAAACAAAAAATCTTATGAATGTCATTTCGAAAGTCGTAACTACTTGTTTCGAATGCGCGACGAAAGTAAGTACGCTTTTTTTCCTCATCGTTTTTGAATCATTAATTCTATTTTTTTTTTTTTTCTTAATATTAGTATGACATAGCATTACCACAAAGGGTTAGAATTCCATGTGCAACCTTGGACGGCAAGCACTTGCCCATATATTTGAGCCCGCAGGCTCTTCACCGTATGATTAGATTCCAAAACGCCACCCTACCGAGATAGCCGTTATGGTGATTTATAATTTTTGATATATACGAAACTAATAAACTAACGAATTAATTTTCATAAGTGTTGTAATAATTAACACGGGGGGCTGGTTGCAATCAATGGTTTTTTAACTTCTTCATGCATGAGAAACTAGTTTTTTCTTATCTATCTTTCATTGCACAGTGCACATGGAATAACACTGTTATATGTACATTTCCCTATTGATCGTTCCAAAACATTGACTGTATATGTGATTTCCCTTATTTATATACTAATACCCATTAAGACTGGTTTTATAGTAAGGGAAATTCAAGATCCGGTTGAAATTCCATCAATAGAAGTGATCTCTATTGAAAAAAATCAGCAGAAGATTGATACTACTTCACTTATGAGGGCTCGATAGCAAATAGCCCACCAGATAGATAGATTTTATTACACAGTTTGTCTAAATATGAATTACTGCACAAATAACAGACTTTCCTCCATTCTAATGCAGATTTTCTATAAAGTGGACTTAGTTGGAAGTTCAAATAACTTTTTGGTGTAAACATATATTTGTAATTTACGCGGCAAATTACAAATTTCTTCACAACAAAAAGTTATTCGAGTTTCAAACTTACTCCATTTTATAGAAAATCTACTTTAGAATGGAGGAAAGTCTGTTACTTGTGCAGTGGTTCATATTTAGACAAATTGTGTAATAAAATCTATCTCTCTGGTTTCCTGTTTGCTATAGAGCCCTCTTAAGTCTGTAAAAATATTTAAAGTATACAACCAACTGTATTGAAATTATATCACAGTCTTAGACACTGCATCAAAATATCATCGAATCAATTTGTAAAAATTAGGTTATATTTTTTCATGTTCCGGATATTATTTTGGTAATTTGATGCTAGTGTCTGAAAACGCAATGTTTTGGGAGGCCAATGTCAATATTAATATATACAAAAAACAATTTACTTACTAATTTAATTCCGCTTTAGTTTTATCTCTCTGATCCAGACGATGACTATCTAAAGGCATGATAATAAATTAGTTTGCTAGGTTAGAATCTACCACATGAATATGTAATTCTTACAAATTACTTAATAATGATAGGCTGGCAAAGTTAACAAACTGCATCACATAAGTATTTCGTAATAAACATTTTTCGTAGTACTTTTGGTATATGTTGTGATACTAAATACTAAATATAAAATTATTTTATTGTTCTACAAAAAGAAAACATTTATACAAATATTTTTTTAGAGGAAATCCCAAAATTAATCAACCAAAGTACACTGTAGTCTACAAACGAATCTAATAGTCCTTTTGTTTGAGGCATATCCACAAAAGCATTAAATTTTTTAAAAATCGAAACAGCAGTATATTTATGAAAAATTTACATATTCAGGACACTATTTTTTGACATAGTGACCTACAACCTCAATGCATTTCAGAAAAGATGAAAATCAGGAGGTGCCAGGTCAGGGCTGTGAGCGGGGTGGTTGATGATGTTCCAACCGAATGAGTCCAAAAGTTGCTTTGTGGCGATAGCTGTGTGGGGACCTGCATTGTCATGCAACAACACTCCCTTCGTTAACATTCCCCATTTTTTGTTCTACATTGCCCTCTATAGTGTTTTCAAGGTTTCAGAGTACCGCACAGCATTGTTTTGGCTTGGAGCAAAAAAGTAAATGAGCGGTATCTCTTCACGGTCCCAAAACACTGTTTCCATTATTTTTCGGATCAGAATTAGAGTTTTGAATTTTCTCGCAGATGGATGTCGCCACTGCATCGATTGTTATTTCGTCTCAGGCCAGGGGCATAGTGGGCTACCCATGTTTCGTGGTCAGTCAAGGAATTGTTTGCCTTCTAGTTCGAAGTACTCGAGAAATTCCAGTGAAAATGCGATTTTGTTAGCTTTGTGTGATCCATTGCTCATGGATCACACAAAGTTAACAAAATCGCATTTTCACTGGAATTTCCCGAGTACTTCGAACTAGAAGGCAAACAATTCCTTGACTGACCACGAAACATGGGTAGCCCACTATGCCCACTACGCCCCCTTTTAGTAATGATTTCATGCAGAAGAGATTTGGAGATCTGTGAAAACTGTGTTCATCTCTTCCAAAGTCAATCGATGGTCACCACAAGGCATTTCTTCGATCTTGTTCACCATCTCATTAGTCACAATTAAGGGATGTTCTCCTCCTTTGTCTATTATGAACATTCGTTCTGCCAGCTTTATACTCACGACACCACCTGTACACATTAGTACGATTCATCGCACCTTACACAGTTTTCATTTCTTTAAAAATCTTGGAACGTCGCCTTTCCCTTTGCAAGAAGAAACTGGATTACGCTGCTCACCTCGCAGCTAGCGGGTTTCGGAATAGTGGCACTCATTTTAACACGCCGCTACAACAACAGTTCTCAACTGACTGAGACAAACGAGTCTGCGTTCTGCTTCCAACATCTTGAGCTTGAATGCAGTGTTGCCAACTTTGTTGATAACAAAAACAACAGAGCATCAGAGTTTCAGTTCTCTAACTTTGTGGATAAGCCTCGTAACATAACTGTTTACTGTAAAAATAAGGTGAAAATGGCTACTGGAAATAGCTTAATTTTATTCTCAATCTGAACCTTATTTTGAATGGGAATATTTGTAGTGTTGCGTTCCATTTCATTTTTGTTCTTAAAATTTTTCTTTTCAATACAACTGAAACATAATATCGCTTGCTTTGTTTCGTCCAGAAACAATTTTGGACTAAAATGTACACATTTATTTAGAAAAATAGTCTACCTACATTCTTGGAATGCTTTTAACGACAAAAATGTACTATACTGAATAAGTTTGAAGATAAAAGTTCATTTCATATGCAGGGTGTTTTTAAATGAAGTAGCAAAAATGGTACCAGTGAATGTAGAGTGTCAATTTATTAATATGATAAATAACAATTTATTTGTTATGACATCCGCCTACTTTATTTTTACAAATTTTCGTAATTACCCCTTTAATGAACAATGACGCATCTAATTTTTTTACTAGAAAACTATCGGTTTTATCGAAAAATAACAAGAGGTAAAAAATTTGCGCAATAAATCAGTCTTCCCAATACATATTTTCAAATAAATAATTTGCATCTTATAAAAAATTTCTAATAAAATATTGCAATGGGGTTGACTGTTTCGCTCCTTTATAAAATATGCCAACGATCAAACAAATATTGAAAAGTTGTCTCTTTATTAGTAGGATGCTCATACCAAGTTTCGTGTCTCTAGCATTCCTCATGTTAAAGAAAAAAAATTAAAATGTGAATTTCAATCCCCTTCTTTAAGAGGGTATATCGCCTCAGGGGTGCAACTTTCATATAAGGTATTTTTACTCCAATCCTCTTATTTTTGACTCTACATTCACTAGTACCATTTTTGCTACTTCATTTAAAAACACCCGGTACACACATAAAACTAGATGCTTCTGTTGAGATAAACATGGTGGATATGAAGGTATTGAAAGAAACACCTATAATTTTTTTTGTTCCACATGATCTAGACCTAGAGAATACTTGTTCTTTTAACGACAAAAATGTGTTCAAAAGACTATGGTTACCAGAGATAATTTACAAATAAGTATATGCAGTATAAAATTATGTTAAGGTCTTAATTTCAGGACAATTAACAAATTTTATTTGATGCAGATTGTTGAACTTTCGTTTTTTCTGCCTTTTATTACCAATAAATTAGATTTTTAGAAGCTTGGTGCTCTTTGAGTAAGCTTTATTTAAAAAACCCATATACTAAAAAATATATCTAAAAACCCAAGTTTAAAATTGAATCTTAAAATTTAAAACACATTTTTAAACAAATTTTGCTTTTTTCTGAAGAAAACTGGTTTTATTCATTGCATTGACAAAATTATTTCCATATATCTTTTATAGACTGGTACAACAAGACTTAGTAGCAAATATATCATGCGGAGAAATGACTGGGATCGTAATATATTTGCTGCATCACTGATTTTTTTAATTAACAGTTCAGTTGGTGGTTTTGTTGTGCTAATCTCTATAAAACATTAAAGTTTATAAATTAACTCTACCTACAGTATTCAAAATCAAGTTTAATTTATAAAAAATTATCATGCAAAACATCAATACGGTATAGTAGACACAAGATTATATAAACACACCCATTTCATTATATTCATGGCTGTACATACAATCGGTAATATATTTATAACAAATTTTTTATTACATCAGCATAATATCGGCCATCCTGCTCTACCAAATCCTAAAAATAATGGACCAGAATATAATCAGGTTAATTTTTGATGGTGCTAGTTTGTATTGTGTTCGTGAATAGCTTGTGAGGTAGTTTCAGGAAAGTCCTTGTAATCGTGTTTGGTATTACGAATAGTACATGCAACGTGCAACAAAAAAAAAAACCTCCATATGAGTATAGAAATATTTAAAAAAAAAGTCTTTGAATGAAGTGAAGAGATATTTTAACATTGATGGAGTTTTTCCATATTATGCAGTAGCACACAGCCCCACAAAAAAAAAAGAGGATTGGATCTGGTATTCAGACCCATTTATTTCCATGTATTTCCATGTATTTTTTTCCGCTGAATCCGGAATCTGCTTTCAGATTTGGCCCAACGGGTCTGAGTTTTCGGGAAAATTAAAAAAACAGGTCAAAATTCACAAAAAACGTCATTTACGATCGACGAATGTTATAAAAAATCAAATTATTCTACCAGCTCACTAAACGTATGATTTTTTACCCGTTTCATTCCAATTTATCATCATAGAGTCATACAAGCTGGTCCAATTTAATTCAAAAACAGAAAATAGATCAAAATGCTTAAAAACGCCATTTTCATGACATAATTCGTGTTGCAGAGTTCTGAATCCATCTTTTTGTCCACCCACCCATTTATGAATTCATACATCTTTCTATCCAGTCGTTCATGCATGAATACGCATATTTATTCATACACCTGTACCACCTATAAAACCCACCCATCCACCCATCTATCCACCTACTTTTTGTACTGAGAGATGAGATAACAGCCTAGAAGATTGAGAATGCAACAAAACTTGTAGAATACTCTACTTTCTAAATAAAAGAAAATGATATCTACAAATCGTTCTTATTTTTGTTGCTATAATGTGTTCTCTTTTTAAAGGATCTATGCAAAGGGTCATGCTTTCATTTAGTCCCTCTATTTAGAGACGGGTGGGTTTTATAGGTGGTACAGGAGGATGAATAAATATGCGTAAGATGTATCCAGAACTCTGCAACACAAATTGTGCCATGAAAATGGCGATTTTAAGCATTTTGATCTATTTTCTGTTTTTGAGTGAAATTGGACGAACTTGTCTGACTCTATGATGATAAATTGGAATTAAATGAGTGAAAAATCATACATCTAGTGAGCTGGTAGAATAATTTGATTTTTTATAACTTTCGTCAATCGTAAATGATGTTTTTGTGAATTTTGACCTGTTTTTTAAATTTCCCGAAAACTCAGACCCGTTGGGCCAAATCTGAAGGATCGGATTCTGCGGAAAAAATACATGGAAATACATGGGTCTGAATACCAGATCCGATCCTTTTTTTTTGTGGGGCTGTGTTATTATTGCTAATATATTGCCAGTAGTTTCACTAAATCTCAGATAATCTTGTTGCATTACAAATTTTTGAATGAATTATTGCCTTGTCACCAGATCAAAAAATTTCAGGAATGTTTTTTTTATAAATCACTAATGCTGATATATAGCACGCACAAGCTTTATTATCTGGAAAAATCTGATCAATAACTACATATTAAAATAAATATCTAATAAAAACTAAATCTGCGCCAAACTCTTTTTTTAGCTTTGCTGAATACCTAGCTCTATCTGCTCTTTGCATGTACTAATTTGAGATGAATAATCAGCTAGTGCAGTAGTGATAAATATTTGTATATAATTTTTATATGAGAGTTTATTTTACAATTTTTATTTGTGTGAAAAATGATAGAATCATTGTTTAGAATCCCACAAGTTACCACTGCAACAGGTACTAAACCCATAATTTCGTATTCTAGTACAAGCTGGAATTTCGTGGTTCGGGTTCAGGCACAGGGAGAGGTTCTGGGTGTGATGGGGGTTCTTCTAGTGGTGGCGGCAGTGGCGGAGACAACAAAGGTGGAGGGGCTACCGGATCCGACCAAAGCTTATGACAAATGGGAATGTCCCGGCGCAACAAGGGGGACTCGAGACGTACTCGGGTCTCCTTTTTGTTGTTCTAGGACAACTTTCTCGCTATTTTTCTTTTACATTACCGTTCGTGTATTATTTGAATGACATTTTCCAGAGAAATCTCTTATAGGCAGTAACTGAATATGTGCAGTCGCGTAGAAAATAGAATACAATTTATCATATAAAATTTTTTATCAATGGTATTAAGTTATGTAGGTGCATTGGATGTTAAAAGAACACCGTCTAAAACTGCAACACTAAAACAATAAAATTCGCTCCACTTTCCGTTTTTTCTCCAGACCTAATCTAACCTCAGTCAAAATTAATATATAAAGGTCAGATGAACTAGTGTTCAATTCGATTTTGACTTTTTATGAAGATATAGGAGTTTGAAGATGACCTAATGACAGTGCTTTTTTAAATAATCAAAGAAAGTTGTTTGGTCATCTTCATGTACAAATTGAAGTCTTTCCATGCACTGAGGATGATTGTTTAGATTCATTTGTTCGTATTTATTAGTACAAATATTATGTTGCATAATTATGCAATAATATCCCTTTTCAAATTTCTTTTCTCTAAATAATAAGCTCTACAAAGTAATCACCGATTTTCTTTTGTTTCTTTGTGTGCATTGCTCTTTTGAAAGCAGTCATGCCATTTTTTCATAAACATTATACCACTTGGAGTTGATTCTTTCTGTTGTTCAATATAGGATGCTACTAGCTCATTTGCAGTTTTTGTATGTGCGTGACTTTTTGTTCACATGCTCTTCTTGAACACCTTTTTCCTCTTCTTCATCATCTTCATCAATAACTATTTGCACAATATCATCGTCATTTAAAAACTCGTTTCCAAAACTTCGTCAGCAGGAATCCATTCATTCACATCTTCTGCATTAAGATAACCACACTCAGGAGGAACAAATTAAAAACATTTTTTTTGTAAACAGGCTTTTAGTGACGTCATTTTATTTTCGTATTCTTCTCAGCAAACCCTTTCATTTGATACCCATATCATGGGGGTGCATAAAAAATAACTGATCCGCCATCTTTGGGAGTCCGCCATATTAGATTTAGCATGATGTCACTTAGCTGCTCATGCATTGTCATCCAAACTAAACATGTATGCAAAATTTCAGCTCAATCGGTTGGAGATAACTTTTAAAATTCAGGTGTAAGGTTTGACTCATACTAACAAGGCAAGTTAAATAAAAGCTTGTATTGTAATAAATGAATGGTGTCATTAGGCTCAGGTGCCTCTGTAGTATTCTGTAAGGATTATCTTCTTGTTTTGTGTTTTGCAAGCCGCTATAGAACAACAACACCACAATAAATCAGCAGCTCAACTAAATTGACTATGTTAGCGACATGTCGCGACAGGTCTGTAAATTGTCATCGTCTCAAACTCGTGACGGCCGATTAAAAAGTGGCCCGATTAGAGTGAGTCCATTGTATTTACAATTCATTAACTGTCTTAAATAGTCATCTCTCGTATTTCAGAAACATTTATTTACATTTAAAGATGTACATTGCAGGTTTCCTTGATGAGGTCGTCTTGATAATGATGGTATATTTTTCAGTTATACTCGAGAACCACATTCTTTATTAAAATATTTCAATATTATTTGTCATGTCAATCTCTCTGATACTACAGAGTCTTTACTGCATTTTCCAAGAGACAAAATAAATCGACTTTTTCTTTATCGAGGAACCCATGAAAAAATGGATTCTTTCGAGCTGATTTCTTCATGATTCTACACAAATCTTCAATAGTGTCAACTGTCTGATAGTTCAGAACGGTTACAAATTAATATAAATAGTAAGAGAAATTGTCAACAGCTGCTATATCTCAATGAGAAGTGAGAACTGACCTAAAGAGAGTTCATTTGGCATTTTTGTTATAATTTTGCCGAGCAACACCATGTAGAAGTTTGATAGTGATCCATGGGCGTAGGTAGGGGGGAGCAGGGGTGTGCAAGTAGTTTTCTTTTACTGTTCTTTCAAATCAAGTTAAAACAAATTTTTGGATGATTCTTAAACTCAACGTTTTTGAGTTGCTGTAAGTTTTACATACTCTCTGCTTTATTCCTTGGTTTCTTTTTGTTTCTTTTTCTAATTTTATAAAATGTTCCGGATATTTGTGATAGTTTATTTTATTTTTCTTTCTTGAGTTTGAATGGGTTTAACGATTGGTATTATATTTTTTTGCCCCACCGATGGTAAGGGGTTATTGGGGGTATTCAAGTTGTTCTGCGTCGAACTCCATTCTTTTAATTAACTGTAAATTGCTATAGATAAGCTGCTTGTGTTTGCTGACAACAAAAGTACTAATTTAAGAGAAAAAATTGCAGGACATAAACTTTTTCCGTGACTGGAAAAATATATTCAGGCGATGCTGCTAATATTTCTCTGGGAGATGTTAAAAAAAAATAAGTTTCTTCACGTATAACTAATGAAATTTAGGTTTAATGAGACATCATACAAATATATATGCATTTATTTAGATAAAGGGAAGGTTTACCAAAGAAGTAATTTTATTCGTTTTGTAAGTAGTTTACGTATAGTTAGTTTATTTTTAAATGAGGATACGGTTAGATTTATTTCAGTGGTAAGCGAATGCTTTTAAGTTTCAATTCGATTTGTATACCAAATGGCAATCAAGACCAAAACATTGAGTGCCAAATTCGTATAAACGTAGTTCAAGAAAAGATTGTCTGGTTTCCATTTGTTATCAGTATTCAATTCACGGTTTGTGTCGCAAGTCTTCTTACTGCAAGTTATTTTTTTTAATAAGAATGAATCTAAGAATGGAATAAAAGGGATGTAAAATAAGGAGAGATGTGACTGAGTTTCTGGTGGAAAGTACAATTTTACATTGCTTGTTTACCTAATAAAATTGCAGTTTTCATCCGCTTTGAATAAAATAATCAATGACTTGATTATTTTATTTATCAGGAATGTGAAGCAAGGTACTATTACAGTAAGGAAATGTGTAAACAATCATTTTTATGACTGTAATATAACAAACCACACCAATCATTTCTTAAAACTCCAATATTAGATACTAACTTTATAGCGTTTTTGTGATTATGTTCGTATAGTAGTACTATTTATATAATGTGATCTCTGATAATAAATGTACTTCTCTTTTATTTCTATTGATATCGGATCATTTCACTACATTTGGAGGTATTTATAGTTCTATTTATTCTCAAATTACGTACCGCGTGGTACAAATTCGAGCAAGGCGTTGACGAGCTTTTAGAAAGCGCAAAATGAATTTCGCTTTATGCATTTCAAGCCGTTTAAAATTCTGCTTATGCGTTTGTACCGCCTGGTAAAGGAAATAGGTATGTATTAGTTGAAACATAGCCTTTCTTAATACTAACAATGTGTAATCTACTATATTGTAACCGAAATTCTTAAAAATTAACTGATATATACATGTTGTGCCTGTAAAGTAATTACAGTGAGCTACTTTGTAGTTTTTATTTACCAAATAACCGAATGTATTTTATATGAGATATTTTAGTTTTATGTATTGTTTTGGTCGTTGAAGAATTCCTCTATATACCAAAGGTAAAGTTAGTTTTGTGAAGTAGACTATAATAGAAAAGAGACCTAAAAATATTTTCATGACCAGTAGTTTATAGATTTTGTACCTTTTAAATTGGATACCTGTTATTATGAATTGTGAGAGGATGCTGTTTCATGACTCTGGATGGTATTGTTGGTGTTTATAAATATTTATTTATTGGAGGGTTAATCAGTGAAATAAAATAAATATAAACGTTAAGAGTTTCATTGATCACCAAAATAATTATAGTGTCGAATGCTCTATTTCCCGAATGGATCAAGATTTTGGAACCGGCACGAAAAACGGAACAGTCGCATTTTTTTTAATAATTTTATTTTTTTAATTGTACTTTGTACTGTATTAGTGTAAACACTATCAATACAAAATATTTTCTATGATTTATAATAAGAAAATATTTATTCGTGATTCACACGTAAGTTTTACAACAAAATGTGAACAAAATAAAAAAAACGCAAGAAGGTATTGTGGTAAACTAAAGAAAAAAATAACCAAAACTCAAACAATTTCTGTTCAATAAAAGTTTTTCAATAATGAGTGTCACCCTCACGACTTCTAACACAGCCACACAAAAAAACAAAAGTTGTCTGTACTTTTCATGCGATATTATCCGTAGTATTTTTGCCTCCTGATAACGAAACCGGTGTCAGAATTGAGCTATCACATCATAGGAATTTCCTAACCTCAAAAACAAGGCAAAAATAGCAAAAATTCACGAAAAAGTGCTAGGAAAAATACATTTTTTTTCCATAGTCATATGTTCATTTATATGGTTAAGATCCCGCCGAAGGTGAATCTGCGGTCAGAATTAATGTTTCTTTTTCTAACCTCAAAAAAACTGGCCAATTAAGGTCAGATATCACGAATTTTCAAAAAATAACAGATTCGTGCCAAATTTAGTATACGGGGGTTTTGGGTCGCTGATCACGGATCCGAGGTCAATTTTACAAAATTCAAGATGGCGGATCCAAGATGGCCGACCAAATTTTCAAAAAATAACACATTCGCGTCAAATTTGGTATACGGGGGTTTTCGGGGTCGCTGATTACAAGTTCGAGATCAGAATTGTGAAATTCATTTTGTAATAATTTTGTTTACTTTATCACCTGAGTATCCAATAATGTTTTAACCTTCTTAAAGTACATAGGTAATTGATTAAATTTTTATTAACGAATTTTGTAAATCTGATTCGGATTCGTGATCGGTGACCCTGAAAACCTCCGTATACCAAATTTGGCGCGAATGTGTAATTTTTTGAAAATTTGGTGTGCCATCTTGGATCCGCCATCATGAATTTTGACAAAATTGACCTCGGATCCGTAATCAGCGACCCCGAAAACCCCCGTATACCAAATTTGGCGCGGCGTTATATTATTGATGTCTAAAAAAAAACGGAATGTGGGAAATGTTTTTGAAGAAATCACGATTTTTCCGCAACAAAAAAACGGTGAAATGACTTGTTAACCCGAAGCCCGAAGATGTACCATCAAAACCCGAAGACTCCGGGTCAAACCCGGACATCTGGCAACCCTATAAATCACACCACGTCCAAGAGCTCATGTCTAGGCCGTCTGCATCTGCTCTTAGCTTCTTTTCTTCCTTCGAGTTTCGGATCAGCGGGTTGCTGTGGATTTTAGCGCGCTTGAAAACTCTTCCCAAAGGACCAAAACCCAAAGGTCCCCGCACATTCCTTATACATAGAATGTGTCTTTCCGCAAATTTTTTTGAAACTGCTGATATTTTTTATCGCGTGAATCATAAGCCTTGATGGGCACAAAGTCTGAAAGTCCTTTTGTTTTGATACTACGGTCTTCGAAAGTTGAATTTTTTCCCCTTACCTTAGACTGCATAGTAAGAATACAGCAATGATTCTTTTTTTGTAAGATTAATAGTAAATGGACATTGTCCGATCGATTCGAGATGTTTTCAACTTCTCCTTCCGGTCAATATTTTCAAATTCAAATGAATTAGTATACTCGTATATTTGACTGCGGATTTCGATTCATCATCAAAAAATACGGAACTCTTGTTTGAAACATTTTTTCTAAAATGCTTCAGTCCTAAATGACCTTTTATGTTGACCTCGTGTCGATTCCCGTGAAAGTTGTTTTACCTTCAGAAAAGGAATTTTCATAAAAAAAAACATGCTCAATATTAGGCGGAATACGTTGTCTCGTATAGGGTTAGTTTTTCGACTTCCGGTTTCTACCGGAAGTGGCCTGCTCAGCCCGAAACTTCCTTCCCCGAAAGTACAGGGTGATTCACTATATTTTGACCCCCCCATTAATTCTTTTGTTTTAGGAGTTATAAAAAAATGTGAAATATGTTTAAATTATTTTTTTCTAAAATGCGTTTTTTGAGTCCTAAATGACCTTTTATGTTGACCTCGTGTCGATTCCC